ATTAAAAACAGGATTTTGGTCCCATAACTAATTGCTTTTAGGAAAATATTTTAAGAACAGTCATTTTATTAGTTCTAGATATTATTTTTGTTATTATAATGGTAACAATTGTTCCACTGCTGGCAAGGGATCTAGCAGGATTTCCATTATGAACCCATATAATGTACGGAATTATGATTCACTTAAACATTCCCTGTGTTTAAAATTGCCACGTCAGATCTTTGCCAAACATTTTTCTCTCTCGTATCACTATTTTTACTTTATATTTTATTTATATATTACATATTATAAAATATGTTTAAAGAACACAAACTTTGGTTGAAAAATTAAGCACTTGAAAGTTAGGAAAAGCCATATTTACAGCTGCCTGTGCAAATCTACAAATACTATATATGTAATTTTAACAATCCCTCAACATCTATCATCAGCAGGCTTGAACCTTAAACCTTCATCGTTGCAGCATACAATGCTACCATTTCAGTTATTAGACATTAATTAGCAGCAGGAGACAGTTATCACAGAGGGGGAACTGCCAGTAGGGCAATATGCAGCATCTGGGTGGGAGTGGGGGTGGGGAGGTGTTACTGAGGGGGAGGCTCTATCGTTGCAGGAATTGGGGGGGCTCCTGCCTCAGGTGGCATGCATATACGAGGGCATACACCAGTGGAGGCATATGCTAGATGCAGTGGTGGGGAACTTAACCCAGCTCTCTTCTTTGCCCACCACCTCCCCTGCTGTAGCTGCTCCCAGATTTCCCCAGAACAGAATGTACGCCTGCTGCAGCAGCAGCAAAATCCCAGCCTTGAAACTTTTGTGTTATTTTGGAGAGCTGCCAACATTTTTTCTGAGGAATACAAATGAGAGAAGGGAAAGAAGAATTACTCACCTTGTGCAGTAACGACGATTCTTTGAGACGTGTCCCCCTTTGGGTGCGCCACTGTAGCTTGTTTCCTTGCAATGCTGCCAGAGAACTTCGCAGCAGTGTCCATTTTGCCCGCGCATGCTATGTCTCCCCCATGCCTCACCACAAGGCTAAACCAGCACGCATGGGGTAACCCACCTTCATGCCTTCTCTACCGCAAAGTCCCTGACAAGAATTCTCAAGTAGAGGGGAGGAGGGTGGGTTGTGAAGCTCCCATAGGGACACACGTCTTGAAGAACCATTGTTACTGCTCAAAGTGAGTAACAACAACTTCTTTTTCTTCTTCAAGTAGTGTCCCTGTGGGTGCTCCATTGTAGGCGACTCCCAAGCAGTATCCTCACTGGACGGCTGGGGCTTCGGAGTCAAATCTGTTACGAATGACAATAACGTGGAGCCAAATATGGCATCAGAGGTGGACTCCCCAGTAATCACATAATGTTCTGCAAAGGTATGGACTGACGCCCAGGTTGCCCCTCTACAGATTTCTGAGACAGGGACATTCTTGAGGAAGGTGACAGGGGACCAATCTTCTGCAGAGAGTGCGAATATCAGCTGGAGGTGTCATGTTGCAAACCTGATAACATTGTTTAATACAGCTGGAGAAGCATTTGGAGAGTCTCTGGGTGGATATTGTTGAGCCCCGGGATCTCTCCGCAACAGAAAGGAAAAGTTTACAAGACTTCCTAAAATCCTTCGTCCTATTCAGGAAAAAGGCTAGGTCTCTCCTGACATCTACTATATGTATAGTATAGCCTCCCTGTTATCACAGTGAGGCTTGTGGGAAACGCAACAGTTCCATAACTTTAGTGCTTCTACGCAAAGGGAGGACGACCTGGCTCTTCCCGGCGGTCAGGAAGGAACTGAGGGGGGTTAGCCTGCATGCACTAGTTAGCCTTGTAGAGGGACACAAGGGGCAATAGTGTCTGTTCATCTAGCACATGTGCTGCTACCAAAATTCGCTGATTAGCAGCACAGGGACGCAAGCGCACTTACAGTGGAGCATCCTTAGGGACACTACTCAAAGAAGAAGAATGATTTTTAACAATTTATATCTCAGCAAAATCAACATTGAAATCATGAGATAAAGAAATGGCAGTTGGAAACAACAGAGGTATGAGAAACTTCTCAAAGACCAGACCATAATAAATAATAATAATAAAAAAATGGAAAGAACATGACAAACTATAGGAGTTACTACCAGCTCCCCCTACAATAAAGACAAGATCTAAAAGAACTACTACTTAATTTAGTGTTCAACTTTAAAGCAGTCTGATTTTCTGAAACTATTTAGCAACCACAATCTGAACATTAGGCCCCTTGAAGGTGCCCCAGACAACAATTACTAGGCACGTTAGAAATTTTTTGTCATTTGTCACATATATATGCATGCACACACGCACACTTACTAACTAAAATGGAAGCAGCAACCATTATTGTTAAGACTGCTCAAGAATGTCCATTCTAGGCTTGTTTTCAGTTACTCATAGATTTTCAAAACTTCAGTATTTGTGCTAAAAATTTTTTGCCATGGTCTCTGCCTGACAGTGCATTTTTATGGATATTTTCAGCAGAAAATGTTTAAATAATTTCTGAGTAGATGGAGAGTGAAAAAAATTAATATTTATGGTTCTGATTGTGCAAACACATATATGCTTAATATTAAGCATGTACACAGTCTCATTGAAGTGAATGGAACTACCCATGTGCTTGAAATTAGACATATATGTGTCAGATTTCACAGGACTGGGGCCTAAATTAATACACAGTAGTTGTACATGCATTTTATGCTTCTTGTTGACAATTCACTGCCACCGTGTTATGGTTCTTGTGTGTAAAAAGCAGACATGACATTCTGATAGAAAGTTCTGCACATTCTTATTTCCCTGCTCAACACACACTTCATGCAGAAAAGCAAGCTTATAATCATATTAATTCACTAGTTCATAATTTCAAAATTAGGATATGCACCATTAAGGCTGGTTTCAGAGTAGCAGCCGTGTTAGTCTGTATTCACAAAAAGAAAAGGAGTACTTGTGGCACCTTAGAGACTAACCAATTTATTTGAGCATAAGCTTTCATGAGCTGAAATTTTAACAAGATAAACCATGGATACAGTTTCAGTTGTAATTCTGAACGTTCTTACTTTGTTTACATTAAGTTAGTCTTCTTCATACAACAGCAACTTTCATTTGTATAACTCAGTTCATCCAGAAGGATCAGAAAGTGCTCTACAAGCAAACTATACAGAGATCACTCCATCCACCAGTAAAACCCAGCCACCTCTGGAGTACAACACAGGTCTTTAACAGCACACAGTAATAGTACACAACAGAATAATATAGGAAAGTAACTAGCTCCATAAAATAATTAAACTATTTGTGGTTGCAATTAATAAACATGCTGAGGTTACCAGACCCATTAATGATAAAGTTTCTAAACTGTAAAGCATAGTTAGACAAATTCCTTTTTCATTTTTAAATGTCAAATTACTAAAAGTCTACTGGAGTAAATGGGAGTCTTTTAGGTGACTTCAATATACTCTGAATTGGGTCCAAAATAACCAAAATTAAATGTATTATATTTTTGAGTACTACACTACTGTAAATTTGGATTTTACCTGTCATGAAATCTTACTTGAAAATGAATCCATACCGTCATGGATAGAACAATGTCATGTGAACTGAAAACTGACTGATGAACTGTAAACAAAGGGTAATGACAACTTATTTATTTATTTTGATTTATACAATAAGAAGGGGGAAAGTCTGGTGAGGTATACCACACGGATTAGTTTTAGATAAGGTCTTATTAAATACATTAATTAATGACCCAAAAAGGGGAGTAAACAGCATGCTACTGACATTCACTGATAATATTAAACTGGAAGGAGTTGCTAATACTAGTGAAAAGAAAGATTAAAAATCAGGGCAAAACACAACCGAATGTGATTCAACTTGGAAAGCTGTGAGTTCATACAGCCTGAAAAAAGATTCAAACACACAAGTTATTAAACAGATGGGAGAAACCTGGAAAGTAATGATGCCGAAAGAGACCGGGGTAACAGTGGGTGTCAAAAAGGAAGGGAATTATTCAGTGTGGTTCACCAACAAATTTAGGGAAGAAATTAAGCCCAAGAAAATTTAGGTTGAAAAAAAAAAAATCAGGAAGTTTCATCAGATTGTTATTCATAATGTTGTGGAATAGCCTCCCAAGGTAATTGGAACATTTAAGAACTAGATGGCACAAAATTCTAGATAATGTACAACAGGGATTAACTTTACATTTTCAGGGAGATTAACTGGATGACCTAAAAAGGACATTTCCATATCTGTCATCTGAGGATATAATACCAAATTCAAGCACAGATAAAGTCATTGATTTAATATCACTATTCTTACCCAAAAAAAAAAAAAAAAAGCATATTTTGGGGGAGGAGGGGGGGGACACACAAATGGTCACGACTTCTGTTTTAAACTTTGTTTGAAAGTTAATACCTCAAATTATACACTGTCTTTTAAGACCACAATGGAGAAATGGGTCAGTAGTAAATCAGAGGCAGGAGTGCCACCTACCGAAGCCCTAGCAACACTTTCTACAACACCTTAAACATCCTGTGCAGTTTTCCCACCAAGATATTGACACATCTTGACCCTGCTAAACTTGCAAAATTTCAAGGGATGACAGAACAAGTGTGCATGGATGCAGAATACACAGTAATTAAAATAAATAAATAAATAAAATGTGATTGCAAGTTCTCTGTTACATCTTCTGGTCTACACCACAGTTTCTCAGGCATCTGCATTAATGTTTGTTTGCAAATATGCTAATTAGATGTCCAGTTTCTCTCTATATAGTATCATGGATCTCATCTCAAAAGAAATGCTGAGACTGATAAAAAATAGCATTGATAATACATCAAATAAAATTTAAAAACTCAAACCAAAAGGCAACTTAATAAACAAAAACAGATGGGTTCAAGATAGTTAGAGGAAGAATATCTATGATTAATAAGCAGTTTCTGTTCCAGTCAAATGTTTGCAATTTGAAGGGAGTTAAAAGGAAATTTTAGCCTACTTACCCAATTTTTGTTTTGTCTTTAATTTTGGATGAGGAACCAGTTTTAGTTTTTTTGCTCTCCTTGTCCTTTGGTTTGGATTTAATTTTTCTACCTTTCTTTTCCTCTCTTCCTTCAGCCGAAACACTGGGAAAGTTTTCAGGGCTCATTACTCGTGGAATGTTTCTCTCCCCTCTCTCTTTTGCTTTTGCGATTGCCTCCGATATTATGCGATTAGCCTTCTCCTGCTTACTTTCCGATTCTACTTTTTTCTTCTGTTTCTTTTCCGACATTGCCCTCACCTGGGTATTCTGCAATTTAGTATATGTCCCTGAAACATCAGTCTTCTTGGAGGAAGGAGGCTGGAAGAATAAAAACATTTTTTAAAGAAAATAAATATATTTCAAAATAAATTTGCAAATACTGTTCACCGAGTTCTACAGCAAAGTCAAGAATACATATAAACGCAATAAACAAGGAAAATGATTCTGTATTACTCCACTATGGCGTGGGTTCCTGAATAAAGTATACCAACAGTTACATTTAAACTGGTTCTACCTACAGAAAATCAAGGAGAAATAGATTTTCTAAAGTTCTCATAGCCTTCTTTACCAACCTCTGCAATTAGACGCTCCAGTTCTTAATCTCTGAAAATGTTTTATGGATTTAGAAGAGATTTCCCCAAGCTATTTGCTTCACAAAACTTGAAAGAGTAGTGAATTAATAAAGGTATAGCATCAATATACCTCTGAAAATAGTATCAAAACGGGAATAATTATCCTACAGTTGAATAGAAAAACCGCACTATTTTACGACCAACAAAACCAGATATTTGAACAAATCAAGGCTTTCAAAAAGAACAAACACAGATTATCTAGTTTTCTACATCAGTAAAGTAGTTAGGAAGCGTACGTTTAATTTATTTAAAATTACATAAGGTTATACTGCTCCTGGAAGGAGTTAACTTTCACTTTTTCCCCCCTTTGTCACTGTTATATCTATAGAGAATTCTTTATGCTAGAACTAGGAATTCTACATTCAAATTAACAGTCTATTTGAAATCATCTAGAAGGCATGTTGTTTAACCTTAAGGAATAGAAAGAATTTCCTATTCAAACAGACAAAAAATAGCAGATAACAGTTCTGTTACGTTCTCACCCGTAAATGTGCCTCTCACTACAGCATGGGGAAAAGACACCAGGAATTTCCAAACACATTTTCAAGCCAAATCCAGTGCACTTCACTGAATAATTTTTCTATACGTGCCTCATCAAAGGCTTAATAGCAATGCTGCAGCACTGAGAAGGACACAGGGTTTAGGATCGCTCACTAAAATGCCACCTTAAGGCCTACAAGCTATAACAAATAACCAAGACCCGAGAAAACAGCAACAAGCTCAAGATGGCGATGCAGCACGACTCCCGCAGCAGCAGCCAGTAATAAGGAAGGTTATTCAATCCCATTAGCCTTTTAGCCCAAAGAACCCCTCCTCCTCCCACTCATTCAGGCTTTCACTTACCCTTCCTCTTGGCCTCTTCACTGAAGACATTTTTGGCGTCAGACAAAGGCTTGCCCTCTGCTTTTTCACCACCCCAGGCAGGGCTCAAGAAAAAAGCATTGAAAGAAGATTGCTAAATGGCCTATTTAGCAAGCTGCAGCCAAGATATGCACAACCCTCCATAAATACACACTGTGATTTATCAACATATTTCCTCCTTGAGAAGTATACATCCACTGTTCATCCTACTCAGGTATGACAAAGACTACCATCTCCCCTAAAGAGCAGAATTTCAACAACAGCTGTTAGCCGATAGCCAGATTCCAACAAAGCACAGAAAGAAATGAATGCACAAAGCATCAAAATGCATCAGCATGAATATTAGAGATGTCGTTAAAAATACTGACTCCTTCTGCGGAAGTAGGCCAGCAGATGGTGCTACCAGTTATTATTCCATTAGACTCTGCAATTTAACCCCCAATGGGCTGCTTTTCCCTACATGTGGTACAGTAGTTAACTCTTACTCTTCCCCCTCCTACAGTAATGAAAAGATTGTATTTTACATAGGTAGAAGCAATCTTGCAAACTATCAATTCCAAGTAACATACTAGACACTGCTGCAATTTTACATTTCTGTCAAGTTTATCTGAAATAATCAAAATCTTAAATAAGTCTGGAGAACAAAATATTTTCTAGAGCTCAATATAAAGACACCGTAACAAATTTAGCCGAGAGGATAAAAGATAGGCAAAGTAGACTGTGCACTAAGCCTTATTTTAGACATTGAGAGTAAGTATTTTACTACAGAAATTTCATATAGAACAGATCACTAGAACACAAAATGGAAGCATTCCTTTTCTTGCTGCTGTTTCTTTTTTTCCCCATGGAGAAATAAACAATACTTTGAGCTGGAGAGCATTCAGTTAGATGGAACATACGCAATAATGAGCTCCGATTTATTCAAAGGTTTATAATTTTGTTTAACATAGATGAAATATTTTACATTTTGATTTTAGCATTCAAAATTAAAATACCACACAAAGGCATCTTGTATCTTTCTAATATTTAGCCTTATTTCCATCAAACTAGGTGAGCAGGTACATTGATTATTTTTAAAGGTTATTTAAAATATAGAACATGATAATTACTCCCTCTCCCCTGGCAATTCTATTCTTTTCACAATCAACTTCCCCCTTCAAAAAACAAAAAACCATATCAGGCAGGGTTGTCATTTTTCCAAACACTATTTATCATGAAAACAATAAATGACAATCACACTTCATGGGGGGTTTCATTTAAATGTTCACTATAATGCTACAGTGACTTTGAGCTTTTAAGAGTTTACATTGCTTAGGCTTCACTTTTATTAATAGTATGCTTTAATTCACAAATACGTTACTTACTTCAGAATTAAGTTCCCTGTCAGTTGAGAATACAAGTGATATAGACATAAGTAAGTTACTGCTTTTGTCAACATTATTATTTTGATTTAAATAAAACATCTCTGTGTTTGTTGTTTATATCTAATGCCGTCCCTTCAGTTTTAAATTATTTGGAGGTTCTAAATAAATAAAATTACAAAGTGCTTGTGCATTATAGTTGTAATACATACAGTAATACAAATTACAACAAATTTAACATTAATAAAGGTGTGTTATTTTACAAATTAAGTAAAACACACTGTACCAAATATGTTTTTCAGTCTATTATTAAGTATCTAGGCACAACATTCTTGTTACTGGGTTCTTAGTAAAATTTCAGGATCTGATCCAATGAAGTTGGCTACTGAAGCTGATGGCAGTCTTTCTATTGACTTCAATGTGTATTTTATCAGGGAGTGTTTCTTGCATCCCAGGCTTGTAGAGAACACTACACAAGCAGCAAGCTTAGTAGCTAGAGAACAGGAGGTACACTTTACTATTCCAGGGCAACATCTCTGGCCAATCTGGAACAGGCATTATGAGAACGAAGGAAAACAGCAGTGAGTTCTCCTCCGCTAAATAAAGATCACAATAAACCAGAATATAAACCTTCATTGAGAGAGTCATCACTCTGATGGACACCAAAAAAGAGGAATACTGAAATATATTGTCAGGGGGGTGGGGCATGGGGTGGTAGTGACAAAACCACAAACACACCCTCGCTCCCCAAAATAAAAAAAGTTTGCATGAACTTTGCAACCAAATTTAAAAATAAAATATAAATAAAACAAACAAAAGCAAAACTAATTAAATTTTATGTACTCATCTTATTAGCCATTTAATTTTCTGTAATATCAATATTGCAGCTTTTAACTACTTTTAATTCAATGAACATAATACAAAGAACTTGAAAAAATTACCCAGCACTTGCAAGGCATTGTGACAAACCAAAAAGGTACTTCCCCTTTTTGTGGCTGATGATGACACTCTAGATGAGGATATCCCTTTGTCCAAGGCTTAAAATGCTACTCCTTTACTTTCCAGTGTTCAGATAGAAAGATTTCTCTAGCAAATGTGCAAGGGAGAGGGGATGTATTTAGAACTTATGATTTATTTGAAAAATACCTTTTTAGCTCGTAAGGCTGCAAAAATAATCTTCCAAATTTAACTGAATATAAACTGAAGCAGTGTTGTCTTCTTGAGACTGCAAAAAGACAGCTCCAGGTTATCTTTGCTGGTGCAAACAGCTTTGCCAAGCAGCAGCAATGTGAAATTAACAAGGCTCTAGTCAGTTTCCTGCTGCTATTCAAGATCCTGTGGACAGCAATGAAATTGTCAAGAATCATGACAATTTCATAGTGCAGCAGCTGCTTGGGAAAGTCATTAGCAGCAGCAGGCACAAGGAGTTTAACTATTCACAGGGCAGAACAAACAACAAAAGTTGAGGGTGGAGTGAAGAATTCCTTTCCTATGAACCACCTCACTGCCCTCAGGGGAGAGGCAGTAAACATCAGCCCTCTGAAGTGGCCAAGAAGCTCTGGCATTCTGTACCCCAGCTACTAGACTTTACGTCAGTTATGACATAAATTACATTTTTGACACCAGACTAACACAAAATCAACCAACTCCCCAAGTACAGTCCAGGGACAGAACTGTGATACAAACCTCTTCCTTCCCAGTAGCTGGGAGTGCTGCGCTTGCAGGGCGTCTCATCAAGCTACAGCCCCTAGACCACACTAGTAGGTGTCTGGTAATTTATTTTTTAAGTCCTCTGTGACACAGGAGCTCCTAGGTAAAGAGTTCTCCCTTGTTGTTTACAAACAGTTCTCAACTCAGACTGGACAAACTAACCACACTAAATATCTTACAAGATACCAGACTAACACAAAAACAATCAACTCCATGAGTACAGTCCAGGGACAGAACTGTGACACAAATCTCTTTCTTCCCAGTAGCTGACGGTGAGCCTCATCAAAGCACTGCCCCAGACCAGTGGTTCACAAAGCCGGTCCGCCACTTGTTCAGGGAAAGCCCCTGGTGGGCCAGGCCGGTTTGTTTATCTGCCGCAGATTCGGCCAATTGCAGCTCCCACTTGCTGCGGTTCACCACTCCAGGCCAATGGGGGCTGCGGGAAGTAGCTCGGGCCCAGGGATGTGCTGGCCACCTTTCCCGCAGCCCCCATTGGCCTGAAGCGGTGAACCGCGGCCAGTGGGAGCCGCAATTGGCCAAACCTGCGGACGCGGCAGGTAAACAAACCGGCCAGACCCGCCAGGGGCTTTGCCTGAACAAGCGGTGGACCGACTTTGAGAACCACTGCCCTAGACCACACTCGTGGTAGGTATCTTTTTGTTTTGTTTTTTAAGTTCTCTATGACACAGCAACTCCTAGGCAAAGAGCTCACCCGCAATGTTTGCAAACAGCTCTCAACTCAGACCAGGCTCAC